CGGCGGTAGTAGTTTGCATTTAGGCCTCTTGTGGTTTGGAGAAAATTTATAGAAATTTCATATGATAGGATTTTTATAGAATTTTTTTCTTAGAGCCCTTTGATTTGTAGGAATATAATCTTATTCTTATGTAAGAATTCCCCTTATCCTCCACATTTTATAGGGATAAACATTAGCCTAGACTCAATGAAAAAAATATATTATGATGTGAATCAAAGGACGTCTTCTTTTTCTATTCCTATTCATAGGATTTGAGATACATGTTATCTCATTTCCTATATATGACTTTCATATTCGTATGATTTTCCTACACTATGAACCAAAGGAGGCCTATAATACCGAAAAAACACATTTGGCTCTCGTGTTACATGCACCTAATATTATAAAAGATATAGTAATTACAAAAATGAAAAGGTTCTTTAAAAAAACAAGCTGGCCTTTTATTTGCTGTGCTCGTATAAATAGTTTTGCCAAGGAATAATTTTTATGGTATTTTGAGTGGAAAAAGTGATCAACACTATGACATGTTACTACTCACACATTTTGTCTTTGAAATTTTGTTTTTTCCCCCAAAGTCAATGAAAGTTTTCCCTTTGCGAAACCTTGTACGAGTACAACAGAATGTCAAGTTTGTTATAAAAAAGTTTCAGAATTTTTTATTTCTTCCCTCGTATGAGGTGCGTATACGCCGAGGAGCTAAAGAATATTTTCTTTGAAGTACCTATCTATTATATGGACTATGGTACTACCTCCGTTTTAGGATTTGTTGGCCGGCTAGAAACTCAGCTTGGTCGGGTCCACATGCAAAAAGGTTAATTAAAGAAGTATAGTCACCCGAAAATTGCCTGGCACGAACGAGCTCGCGCGCTCTCGGAATCGTAACCCATTCGTTCGCTGGAGATGTGGGACATCGTGTGGTAATACAGATGGAGGATGAGGGGATATTTAATGCGCATACGTGACTGCAACAGACGGCGCGGGAGCAGTTGGCGGCGACCGACGTACAAGGGGCGATGACGGTGTTTCCTGCCGCCTCGTCTGTTCGCTGTTCTGTACCTGTATGTACGGACCCTGCAAAAGTTTTATTCATGGCATTTTTGGTCGTGGGAGCGTGTGTTCTTGTGTAATTAGTGAGCAAAAAAATAAAGTAAATTATTTTAATGTCATGGATTTTTGTTGTACATGTTCATTTCAGCGATGAAAGCATGCATGGAAATTTCATTGTGAAATTGAGCAACGATGAGTATTGCTGGTGGGAAAACAATTTAGTGGAGTTTCTTTTTTGATGAAAGTGTCTTTTTGCTCCCGAGTTAAAGTGACATCCGGTGAACAATACAACCGTAGAGAAGTCAAACAAAGATTCAAACAATTTTTTTTTCTTCTCAACAAACATCTATAAAAGTTCTAAGGGTTTGCAAAAAATTGGTCACTCAAACATACTTTTGGAAGTCGTGCCCAAGAAAAAGGAATTTCAGAGTTTTTTTTTGAATCGCCTTGCAGAAATCTGCCTACATTACGAATTTTTGAAAGCACTTCAAACTGTTGTCAATGATTATCGGGGAAAAATCAATTTCTTTTTGAAACCTTTTCAATTTCTTTTTCGGTTTGATTGTTAACTCAAGCTGAATTGAAACATCTAAGTTCGTGGCTTTTTTCGTTTTATTTTCACATGCCAAAATGGTTAGTCCTTGTTCCTATATATTTGTATGTAGCATTTGGATGTGTCGAAGAGCACAATATTTTCTTCAAACTTTTTGGGTATTTGAAAAAAAAACAACGGGACTTGGCAAATCTGGCCCCCTATACTTATGCGGACACGCCCACGGACACTGATCAGGCACCGCTTAAATTCGCGCCTACACACTGTTCGGTCACTTCAAATACCAAACTGTTGTCAATGATTATCGGGCGAAAATCAATTTCTTTTAAAACCTTTCCAGTTTATTTCTTTTGGTTTGATTGTTCACACAAGCTGACTTGAAACTTCTAAGTTTGCAGCCTTTTTTTCGTTTTATTTTTCACATGCCAAAATGTTTAGTCCTTGCTCCTATATATTTGTATGTAGCATTTGCATGTGTCGAAGAGCACACTATTTTTTTAAATGGTACTTGAAAAGAAAGCAATGAGACTTGGAAAATCCGGTCCCTTAGAGCAATTCTAGCAGATCCCACAAAAATTTGATCCGCAAAACGCATTTGCGGTTCCACGAAGATCGCGTTTGTGGGTCGAAAACAAGCGCGGCCGAACAAAACCCGTATCTAAACCTGCATAATTTGAAATAACACTTTCGCGGAAAACATAACTCATCACATGATCAACAAACTACAAGCATAGTTATACTACATACTAAGTTAAACTAGTACTAGAGGGGTCGGATCTGATGGTAGCAAGGTCGCGGCAAAATGGACGACGCTGTGGAGGAGCCATACGCTCAATCCTCCTCGCCGGAGATGTACATGTCGACGTACACAGCCGCCTGCTCCGCGCGGATGCGGCGCCACTCCTCGGACTTCTCCTTGGCGGCGAGGTTGGCGGCGACCGCCTCCCGCCACTAGAGGGCTTCGAGCTCCTCGGCGTGGCGTTGGCGCTTCGCCTCCTCGCGTACGCTCCACTCAGCGATGGCGGCCGCAACGGCGTCGATGTCGGCGACATAGTCTTCCGGCCCGATGACTCCGCGGCGGCCGAGCGGAGCGGGCTCCTCGGGCTCCTCCTCCACGGGGACGAAGGCGAACGCGTCCGGCTCCTCCTCGTCCTCCGACCACTCCCTCTTCACGGGGAGAAGGCCCGCGCCGGAGGAGGAGGAGCTCCCAGCGTACGAGGACCTCGCGGAGGAGAAGGACGCGCGCCGCGATCGTACTCCGCCGCCTCGCTCCGCTGGAAGCTCGCCGGCGGCGACAGGCCGCGGTTGGTCGACTTCCAGGCCCCGCGCTTCCGCGCGCCATCGGACCGGACACGCCGCTCGCGCTCCGGGTCCCTTCCGCTGTCAGATCTCCTGCTGGAGCCGTGTCCGGAGCTCCACATTCGGCCCCGCATGGCGGCTGGAGGCGGGGCGGGAGGTCGCCGGCGGCGAGAAGTGTGGAGATGGGGAAGGGGAATCGCGTGGCTCGGCGGCGGCGAGGGATAGGGTTTGGACCCGCAGACGAGTCGCGAAACCGCAGTTATAGCGGTCGGGGCGTGCGGTTTGCGGGCCGCGGGAAAAAAATTTACGGGCCGGGCGAGTATGCGGGCTCTGTTTTGGCAGGAAAAATGGGCCGAGCCTGCATACTCACCGAAATTTTGCGGGTTTGCGTTTTTTGCGGGGTCTGCTAGAGTTGCTCTTACTTACGCGGACACGCCCGCGGACACCGATCGGGCACCCCCTAAATTCACACCTACACACTGATCGGTCACTTCAAATACCCAACTGTTGTCAATGATTATCGGGGAAAAATCAATTTCTTTTCAAAACGTTCACACAAGCTGACTTGAAACTTCTATGTTCACGGTCTTTTTTTCCGTTTTATTTTCGCAAGCCAAAATGTTTAGTCCGTGTTCCTATATATTTGTATGTAGCATTTGGATGTGTCGAAGAGCACACTATTTTTTTCAAACTTTTTTGTATTTAAAAAAAACAATGAGATTTGGCAAATCCGGTCCCTTATACTTACGCGGACACGCCCGGGACGCTGATCGGGCACTCCCTAAATTCATGCCTACACACTGGTCGGTCACTTCAAATACCAAACTGTTGTCAATGATTATCGAAAAAAAAATGTTTTCAATTTATTTTTTCCGTTTGATTGTTCACACAAGCTGACTTGAAACTTCTAAGTTCACGGTCTTACTTTTTGTTTTGTTTTTGCAAGCGAAAATGTTTAGTCCTTGTTCATACATATTTGTATGTAGCATTTGAATGTGTCGAAGAGCACAATATTTTTTCAAACCTTTTTGTATTTGGAAAATAAAACAATGAGACTTGGCAAATCCGATCCCTTATACTTACGCCATCTCACATGAACAAAAATGGGATACCACGGGGAACAAAAATGGGGGCGGCTAAGGTTACCTGTCAGGCGGATCTCACAGGAACTCAATTGCGTCGTCTCCCTCGGTCGCCATCTCCATAGCCGGGAGCTTCTCGCCTTGCCGCCCGAAGCGAGAGGGAAAATTGCTTTTACTTTTCAGCGGCGGTCGGCTAGCATGGTCCCACAAATACTTATCCGTTCGACAAACTGCGTCTCCGTTAGGGAAGGATATGACGGGTGTTGTCCCGTACCGCCCAAACAGATACTCCCTTCGTCCGAAAATACTTGTCATCAAAATAGATAAAAAGAGATGTACCTAGAACTAATATACATATAGATACATTCCCTTTTATTTATTTTGATGACAAGTATTTTCGGACGGAGGTAGTATGTGCTAACGAAACAGCATAAACGTGGACCGCTATTTATCCATTATTTTAGACGGCTCCGCTTCGTACGTCACTGTTTTAATGGACGTACTCCACCTGTCTCCATACGATCTCATTGAATACAGCATGCGACGCATCGTCGATTCGTTCGTCCACCTAGCAGGAGCGCGCGAGCCCGTCCATACCATCGCCGTCATCTTTTTAACTGTGACGGAGGGAGTACAACTGCTTTTTTTTAACTTTGCAAATAAAGTAAACGGAGAAAGTAGGGTAGGAAGGCATGCAGTCGGTCCGTAGTGCGGCGTGCAGGTTTCTTGCTGCATGCAACTGTATTATTATCCTGAAAAGGAGTGCGGCGTGCAGGTTCCTCTCGTCTTGATATTAGAGTTTTGGTCAGCGGGACTTAACCCCGACCGAGGTATAGTACACAGTTTTGAATTTAAAATTCATTTGAATATCGTATTTCGAGCGGTACTTGGATGGTATATTTGGCAGCATCCACGGTAAGCACGAATTGGTAAAAAAATCTTACTATATTATTCGATAGCCAAAACCTCTGGTAGTAGAGAAGTGAAGAGAAGAGCAGCAAGTTTAACGAATGGATTACCGAGAACGTGGAGATGGCGGAGTTGAGGAGCGTGGGGAGCGGCTTGCCATCGACGACCTGGCACTCGGCGTCGACGTGCAGGTTCCGCCATCGGACCTCCACCGTGGGCTGCCGCACGCCGACCCTGTCCATCCTGCGGCGCTGGTGCCGGAGCAGGCGGAGGTTGTCCTCGTGGATGTCGGCGATGAGGGTGTGCACCAGCTCCCGCCGGTCCACCGCCCCCAGCCGGCGCACGTCTACCGGCTCCAACGGATGAGTTGCGTTGGCATGGAGAGGGAGCGAGGCGTGGAGCCTGTCCCAGGTGGGCAGCCGCTCGATGGCCGCCCATTTCAGCTCCACCTCTTCATCGTGATCGTGATGTTGCTCTCTCAGGGACGAGGAGGAGGTGGAGGAGAGCGCCTCCCTCAACGACGACGAGGACAACGGCGGGACAGTGCTCGCAGATGACGCCTTGTTCATCTTCTTCTCTGGGTCATCTACTGCTCTATCGTCTTGCTCCTCCTCGCCCATCTCTACCTTGCTCATCGCCTCTTCCTAGCTGCTCAGCGTCCTCGTCACCTCGCTCCTTAATTTGTAGTGTTAATAGTTGATGAATCAGTGGGACTATTATAGTATTCTTTCTTTTATTTAATCAACAACCGGCGTTGATTATCATTATGACGCCGTTGACTCTACCGTACTCTCCGAATTTCTCCTTTTCTATTAAATAGAGTATAATTATATGATATGAATATCTGCTTGGTGGCTATAGCTAGCAGATGAGACATGAGTGGCAATAAAAATATCGATCTAGTGCAAGCCAAGCTTCCATCAACTAGTTAAGTCAATGATGACAGAGAATCTGTACACAGTTCTTCATGTCTGCTCCTGTATGATTTCCTTGTCTTCTTCTTTTGAGTGGCATCCCATCCAACTCCCACCGCTTTCACACCCTACCGCATCGTAGGATAATTTCTCTATACTGCTCTACCATTTAGGAGTATATAGTACCAAAAAGAAAGTGGGAGTACAAATTCCTGTCGTTGTTTAGTTCTCCACAAGCGTTATTGAATTTCAGCTAACAGAACCATTTAACGTCCAATTAACACACCGACGGGCACACGCGACCGTACTCGACTCCTGCTGCTCCGGCGTGCGCCTCATGTCATACCGGATCAGTGAGATATCGGCCTTAAATCAAGAGTATCAACCTATTTTCTATGTAGTGTGCCTCACGTTATACTCGATCGGTGAGATCTCGGGTTTAAATCAAGAGTATCAACCTATTATATATGTACAATTATGAGAGACACATGCGACTATCAAGCTAGATGCATCCATATTGCTTGCATGCCTTCGACTAACAAGGAGAGGAAAAAACCGAAGAGATGAGACAGTCATACGGTTTTCAGAAAAGACCAGTGAAAAAACATATGATGGAACGAAGAGGAAAGGGAAAATGTAGGTTGAATGAAAGACGAACTGCTGATAAAACCATGCGTTTTTTTAAGTAGGAGAGATTACCAAAAAGGCTTTTGCCCCGCTTTATATATAAAGCAAATCACCCGAGCCATAACATTCACACAAAGGTTCACGCCACACGCACGCCAAATGTCAGGACACATACAAGCAAGATAATAGGGTTAATCCCGAGGGCACAACCCAACAAGCCCTCAAAACAGAAACACAAGGCACAACAAGCAAGAGCCCAACCCACAAAAAAAACAAGCAAGAGCCCAAGGGGCGGTCCAAGGGTCCTGCGCCGCGAGGAGGCCGCGGGCCTAGTCTGGCTCCGGGGGTGGGGGCGGAAGAGGAGGCGCCACTCGGAAGGCCATCACGCGAAGGTCGGCGAGGAGGGTGTCGATGGCGTCCCGATCCTGGAGGCGGCTAAGCAGCCACCAAAGCTGCAAGTAACCACACAATTTGAAGGCCGCGTCAGTCGCACGCCAAAGAGGAGCCTGTTGAATGCCAAGCTTATTGCGGATGGTCCAAAGCGTCCATGCAAGCACCCCAACGCACAACCACCTAATGTGGCGGTGACGAGGGGCGGAGGCCTGGATTTCCACCAATAAGTCCGGGAAGTTGGTGTTACACCAACGACCGCCGACCGTATCGCGGAAGCAGGAACACAAGAACTGAGCCGTAACGCAGGAGAAGAAGATGTGGTTAGCGTTCTCAGTCGTGGCACAGAGGGGACACATCCCATCTCCTGGGTCGTTGCGTTTCAGAATGTCAACCCCGGAGGGGAGACGGCCACGAATCCACTGCCACATGAAGATCCAGATCTTCAATGGCAAGCGAATGTCCCATATAAGGCTAAACGGCTCAGGGGTAGAGGAAGGTGCAATGGCCGGATATAGGGACTTGGTCGAGAATTGACCGGAGGACTCCAAGCTCCAGGACACAGAGTCGAGCGTGTTGTCCACATCCAAAGGCTGAAGAGCAATGGATTGGAGGAGGGCATCCCACACGGCAAGCTCCAGGGGAACAAATGGGCGACGGAATGTGAGCCGCGCTAAATCAATAGGGGCCGCCTTGACGGAGACCCGAGGGTCAACCGCGATGGAGAATAATTCCGGGAAACGGGCGGCGAGGGGGGAGTCTCCCACTGTAACACCCGGATAATTAAGCTACAGTAATCCCATGCTAATGATGCCATGCCACCACTGTTACTGTTGCTAATCTCACACTGATTCAAATCCCGTTCAAATTCAAATCCAAAATCAAGTCAAACAATTAAAGTTTCAACAGTCAAAAATAAAATGTTCTAAGTGTGTCAAATAATTCATAAGTAATATTGGTGATGAACCACATTTTTATAAAAAATTTAAATGCACTAAATAAATAAAACAATAGCTAAAACAATTAATTAAATGTCTTTTATAATTTCTAAAATATTAAACTATTTTATTTGGGAGTTAAAGTTTTTTTGTGATAGTGGTATAATTAGAAATACTAATTGAGGAACTAATTTTATAATTTACTAGCAAAAGAACCCGTGCATTGCAACGGGAGAAAAACATAACACGCGCTCTTAACCCAACAACCATCACTCAAGACCACAATAGGTCCATCTCCTTTATTTTAGTGAGGCAACATATTTGTGTTGCTGCTTATCCTCCTTCTCACCCTCACTGGCGATGGCCTCGGTGTTCGCACAAAACAAAACGTGTTTGAATATGCTTAATCCTAAGGTGTCTCTCTCTCCCTCTCTCCTCCCTCTCTCTCTCTCTCTCTTGCTTTCTCTCACTCTCGCGATGAGAAATATATTGTTTTTCCCTGGGACATTTTTCAAAGGTATGCATGTGTTGTTATCGATGTTTTTTCCCTATATGGTTATAGTGGGATGTTTATTTGCAATATCTGGATTGCCGCCGGTACAAAAAATGGATCGTGCGCTATAAATTAAAAGTTTGCTTCCCAAACAATATTTAAAACGTATTTAACAGGTGAAATTAACATCATATTCAGATTCCACACAGTTTTCTAATCAAATTTCATATATAACATGTTAAAATCGGAGTTACGGACTAAAAGATACGGATAATTTAGAAAATTATTTGTTTGACTTAAATATCTTACAACATAATATTTGAAAATACTTAACAAGTAAAATTAATTTCATATTCATATTTTATATATTTTTCTAATCAAATTTCATATATAACATGTTCAAATCGGAGTTACGGTTTAAAAGATATGGATGATTTAGAAAAGCATTTGTTTGACTTAAATATGATGCGCGGATGAATTACCTAAAAGGTCGGGGGGGGGGGGGTTCAAAAAATGTAAAATAACGGTTCGGGTGTGACTTAAATCAGGATGGCGGGTTGATTTCAAGAAAACACATGGGCTTTGTGTAAAATATGGAAAAATGATTCGTTCTTACTTAAAACAGGACTGCGGGTTGAATTCTCCGATATAGAGGGACTTTTCTGCAAAATGCCATGATGGACGACCAGAAACCCAATTTTCTTTATTATTAGGTAAAGATAAAACTAAAAATAAAACAAAGAATAAAGAAAAAATAAAAAAATAAAAGCTAAAGCAAATGAGACAAAACAAAAAGGAAAACCCCTCTTCTAGGCCACTTGGCGAAAACCCCTCTTCTGGGCCACTTGGCCCAGTTGGCCGAGCAACCCAGCTGGCCAGGCCGGCCCAGCCGCACCCCTGCCACTCGTCCCCTCCGCTACAGGGACGGGTGAGGAAGTCCTGGACTAGGGGGTGTCCGGATAGCCAGACTATTATCATCGGCCGGACTCCAAGACTATAAAGATACAAGATTGAAGACTTCGTCCCGTGTCCGGATGGGACTTTCCTTGGCATGGAAGGCAAGCTTGGCGATACGGATATGTAGATCTCCTACCATTGTAACTGACTCTGTGTAACCCTAGCCCTATCCGGTGTCTATATAAACCGGATGGCTTTAGTCCGTAGGACGAACAACAATCATACCATAGGCTAGCTTCTAGGGTTTAGCCTCCTTGATCTCGTGGTAGATCTACTCTTGTAATACCCACATCATCAATATCAATCAAGTAGGACGTAGGGTTTTACCTCCATCAAGAGGGCCCGAACCTGGGTAAAACATCGTGTCCCTTGTCTCCTGTTACCATCTGCCTAGACGCACAGTTCGGGACCCCCTACCCGAGATCCGCCGGTTTTGACATCGACATTGGTGCTTTCATTGAGAGTTCCTCTGTGTCGTCACCGATAGGCTCGATGGCTTCTTCGATCATCAATAACGACGCAGTCCAGGGTGAGACCTTCCTCCCCGGACAGATCTTCGTATTCGGTGGCTTTGCACTGCGGGCCAATTCGCTTGGCCATCTGGAGCAGATCGAAAGCTACGCCCCTGGCCGTCAGGTCAGATTTGGAAGTTTGAACTTCACGGCTGACATCCGCGGGGACTTGATCTTCGATGGATTCGAGCCACAGCCGAGCGCGCCGCACTGTCACGACGGGCATGAGTTAGCTCTGCAGCCGGACAGTAACCTGGAGGCCGCTCACGAGTCCGCTCCGATCTTCAATTCGGAGCTGGCTGCGCTGATCGAGGACGGGTGGCTAGACACCGCCTCGGGGGCTGCAACCTCTATGGCAATAGAGCCGAACACTGACCTTGTCCCTCATGAAGCTCGTGACTCCGAGGTGCCGGACTCCTTGCCGGACTCCGAACCTCCCGCACGCGCTCCAATCAAATCCGATTGGGCGCCGGTCATGGAGTTCACCGCTGCGGACATCTTTCAACACTCGCCTTTCGGCGACATCTTGAGTTCGCTAAAGTATCTCTCGTTATCAGGAGATCCCCGGCCGGACTGCGGTCAGGATGGTTGGGATGCGGACGACGAAGAAATTCAAAGCCCACCCACCACCCACTTAGTAGCCACTGTCGACGATCTAACCGACATGCTAGACTTCGACTCCGAAGACATCGACGGTATGGACGACGATGCCGGAGACGACCAAGAACCAGCACCTACTGGGCACTGGAAAGCCACCTCATCATATGACATATACATGGTGGATATCCCAAAGGATGGGAATGG